TGTTCTAGTTCTATCAAATGAAGAAAGAGTGGCTGATCCCTCAGTGCCAGGGACACTTAGCCCAGTGGTAGCAATGGCTCTAGAGCCAGCCATTGATGCACCAATACATGCCAGTGATGAGGGTATGCCAGTGCCCACTCCAGAAGCCCAGCTGCCTGAAGGCCAGTGTGACCCAATTCTGCTACCCGCCCAAAAAGGAGAAGCATCTGCAGTTCAACCAGAGCCCTCCAAACCTATTGTAGTGAGCAGCTCAGGGCCAGAGCTAGAGGCTCCAGGAGATGGAAGCCTGGAGTCTGTTCTCGGTCCATCTGGGGAGCAAGTGGAGTCTCTGGGTCCATCTGGGAAGAAAGTGGAGTCTCTCGGTTCATCTGGGGAGCAAGTGGAGTCTCTCGGTCCATCTGGGGAGCAAGTGGAATCTCTCGGTCCATCTGAGGAGCAAGGGGAGTCTCTCGGTCCATCTGGGGAGCAAGTGGAGTCTCTCGGTCCAGCTGGGGAGCAAGTGGAGTCTCTCGCTCCATCTGGGGAGCAAGTGCAGTCTTGCCCCCTTGCTGGAGAGGCTGACCATCTTGAGCCTGTTGCTGAGCAGCCAGAGCCACCCGCACAGGAGCCTCTGCCGCCCAGCTGGGATGTAGCACCCGTCCCATCTGTGCAGCTGGAAGCTGACACAGGTTTAGGAGGGGACATTCATCCAGTTACTTATTTTGAGCCGCCAGTGGCTGAAGACGCCGATGGTGCTCTGCCCTGTGCTGCTGGGCAAGAGCCTGCTCGCCCACCAGCTAGCGAGGCAGACAGGCCTGCGGAAACAGACCCAGCTCCCTGGGAGTGCGTGGAGATGATGTGCAGATTTCCTCCAGGGGGCCATCCCGGATTTGCAGGATGGAGTTAGACAGTGATAAGGAGACAGCTCGAGTGCTACATTGGCTGCCCGAAGGGAAGGCAGACCAGTTCTCCATCATGGCCGTCGTAAGTAGCTTGGCAGACTGGGCGTGCGGCCTTTCCTTTGCACCTCTACTGCCACACCTGCCTCAGGGCAGAGTCATGCTGACCATTCATTTCATCTTTTCAGAAACTGTTCAAACGTCTCGTCCCTTACCACTGTTTGAATTACATCTATGCCGAACCTGACCAGAAAGAGTGTCTGGAGCGCCTGGCACCCACTCTGCTTCCCATCCTGGAGCACTGTGAGCAGGTCTCCAGTTGTGTGATCACCACGTGCCTCGGGGACCACAGCATGGAGGCAGCAGAGAGAGCCCAAGTGGTGCAGCACTGGATAGAGGTGGCTCTGGTATGAGCAGGAGGGGCCCGGGGACCCTTCTTCCCTTTCCCACTCCCACCAGGTGGCTGCCTGCTCACTCACAGCCTCTGCCTAGCCTTAAAGCCCTCCTCCTACTCTGCCCTCCCTTGGGCTGTGTGCATTCCTGCCCTGCTTCCACTGTCATTCCCCTCCCACAAGCTGTCCCAGTTCAGCCCAGTAACAAAGGCCCAGCCCCAGGCCAAGCAGGACCCCAGGAGTTTCCTCCACAGCTCTCCTCACCCATTCTTCACTCCTAGGAGTGCCACCTACGAAAAAATATCTCCACCTTCTTTGGAATTGTGTGTGCTCTGCAGAGCAGCCAGCTCCAAGGCCTGAAGAAGACGTGGAGATTGGTTGGCAGGTGGGTGCACCTTTCTCCTGGGCAACTCTTGCTTCCTCAGCTTAGCGTCCTTCTTCTGGGAGCCCAATGGCAGTGCCCCATGGCAGAGACCACAGCTCTATGGCCTTGCCTAGGATTCGCCTGCTAGGTTGGAATTCCTCTTCTGCCATACATTGCACAAGGCCCTTGGGGACATTTTCCTTCAGAGACATCACAGCTACACCAGTCTGTGCAGTGCTCTTCCAAGCAAAACCACTCTGGGAATTAGGGTGGAGCTGGAGGTTTCCCCTCAAGACTTTGCTCCTAACCATGTGACCTAAGGGTCACAGTGGCTCTCCTTGCACAGCTCTGTTCCCATTAGCATAAAGTCCTGCCTCAAAATGGGAAATCCATTCACACTCCTCCTCTCCCTTCCTGTCCCATCTGTCACCTTGTCTCTGCCCATCGTCCAGGGAGAGAGTAGCTGTCTATCAGGAGCTGAGGAGGATACACTGCCAGGAGCAAGTGTACAGGTTGTATGAGCCCCGGAATAAGATTTGACCCCTGGAAGAAGGCGAGGGAAATTTTCTCTCTGATGGAATTCAAGGAGCATATCCAACATAGCTAGGAGAAGCATCTGTCGTGGGCTTGGGTGTGGGACAGATTGTATGGGGAACAGGAGGTCCCTGGGGACCCAGTGGAGTGAGTGGAGGAGGCCACCTGGGTGTCTGAGGAGGGTGGAGAAAGTGACAGGGTTGGGTTGTCAAGG